TTCAAAGAGAGTGTTCACGATAAAGGAGTACGTGTAGTAGCTAGGCCCACTTGTACTTTTCTGTGGCCTTTGACATTGAAAATATTAATCACTTGTCTTTTGTTTTAGTTTTCCAGAAAATATTGGCCGCAACTCTTGTCGATTTAAAATTCGGTGATGGTGATGGTGATGGATCAAACCTCGGCAGAATCACGATAGAAAATATTAAGTTTCAACTATTAGAATAAGAATACAAGGGTACCGTTGTGAATCGAATATACAACTCTATAAATGGTTAGAATACAGTCCCTTAGTGTGTATTATTCATGAATTATTACCTATTGTTTAATTAATTATATTAACCATTACTAATGGGTTGTAAGCTATGTATTGTATACTTGTGGTATCAAGGGGTCATACTAGTCAAAATAATAAACACCAGAATCGTTACCTATAAATTTATCAACATTTTAATCAATTGGATTTTTGAAAGGTTGTAAAATCATAGACTTTAAAACATTTTTAATTATTTTCTTTCATTCTCATCTACTCATTCTTATCTTGCTCATTCTTATCCTACTCATTCTTATCCTACTCATTCTTATCCTACTTATTTCTTATTCTACTCATTTCTTATCCTACTCATTCTTATCCTACTTATTTTTATCCTACTCATTTCTTATCCTACTCATTTCGTATCCTATTCATTCTTATCCTACTCAATCTTATCCTACTCATTCTTATCCTACTTGTCCTTATCCTACTCATCCTCATCATACTCATCCTCATCCTACTCATTCTCATCCTTCTCATCTCTATATCCAAAGAACCTTCATCCAAATTGTTAACTGTCCTGTAAACTGTATTATTTACTGCTCCTAGAACCAGCATTTGTCTGAGTTTTGCAGAATGCACTTCAAGTTCTGCTTATATATATATATATATATATATATATATATATATATATATATATATATATATATATATATATATATATAATACATATATTTATATTTATAATATATATATATATATAATATACTACTGGAACAGATAACACTGTCGACTTTTGATCTTTGTTTTTAATAGGATTAAAGATTTATTCTTTGAACAATTTATTGTAGATCTTCACCTCTTTACCCTTCTTTCAGTCCGAACCTTGCTCTGTTCCAAGTTCAACCTGTAGTAAACACCCTACTCCATAAACTGTTCTCAAACCCGTATCTATCCAGGTACAATTCGTCGGCTATTAATGTCAATGTTGTTATCTATATCACATGATTAAGACTATCATGTTACCTATTTACTGGTTAATGACATGAAAGTTAATCATGCTAGGTATTCATTTGAAGAGCAGTACAAATGAATAATGGGTTTTACATATAAGTTTACAAACGTAAATAGTTAATAATGTATAACGTAGTTCAGGCTAACAGAACATTGTGTTACCCGATATTTATTAAAAACGTGGCGAACCTTAAAGGGACTGTTTTTGTATTTTAAAATGGAGCTTCATGTCCTATTCTTGACGGTAAACCTCTGAACCTCTGTTTTTAAGATAATGTGGAGGATATGGTCGTTTTTCAAGATTGAAAAGTTTATACTTTTGTATCAGAAATGTGCAGGTCATTTTTCTTGAGAAAACAAATTCAATCAGATAAACATCTCATCTATTCTTGATCATTTAAAGCGTTTATGGGAATAGGACATGCTGCTCTATTATGCTGTGGGTAACTTAAAGGGAATGGAACATGCTGCTCTATTATACGGAGGGTTACTTACAGGGAATATGACATGCCACTCTTTTATATGAAGGGTAACTTAAAGGGAATATGACATGCTGCTCTATTATATGGAGGGTTACTTAAAGGGAATATGACATGCTGCTCTATTATATGGAGGGTTACTTAAAGGGAATATGACATGCTGCTCTATTATATGGAGGGTTACTTAAAGGGAATATGACATGCTGCTCTATTATATGGAGGGTTACTTAAAGGGAATATGACATGCTGCTCTATTATATGGAGGGTTACTTAAAGGGAATATGACATGCTGCTCTATTATATGGAGGGTTACTTAAAGGGAATATGACATGCTGCTCTATTATATGGAGGGTTACTTAAAGGGAATATGACATGCTGCTCTATTATATGGAGGGTTACTTAAAGGGAATATGACATGCTGCTCTATTATATGGAGGGTTACTTAAAGGGAATATGACATGCTGCTCTATTATATGGAGGGTTACTTAAAGGGAATATGACATGCTGCTCTATTATATGGAGGGTTACTTAAAGGGAATATGACATGCTGCTCTATTATATGGAGGGTTACTTAAAGGGAATATGACATGCTGCTCTATTATATGGAGGGTTACTTAANTACCCAAGAACACATTATCTACTCTGCAGTCTGCACCTTCTAATCCAATATTTAACCTATGAAGATCAGTTTAGATACCCAAGAACACATTATCTACTCTGCAGTCTGCATCTTCTATTCCAATATTTAACCTATGAAGATCAATTTAGTTACCCAAGAACGTATACTACCTCTACTGGCATCTTCCTTGTCTAATTCTTTTCCATAACATCAGTTTAGATACCCAAGAACGCATTATACTTACTCTGCACGTACCTTCCTAAAATTTAATATTTACCCAAGATCAATTAAGCTACCCATGAATGAGTTACACTTACTCTGTAGTTCCATTCTTAATTCAATACTTATCAAAGATCAATATAAGAAACCCAAGAAAGACTTATACTTACTCTACAGTTACATCCCTTGTTCAATACTTATCCATGAGATCAATGTAGATACCCAAGAACTGCAGGTACCTTTATATAGTTCTATACTTATCCTAGATGTTTTTAAACCCTTCATAATCCCTCATTCGCCGTGTAGACGACTGTATACACGTACACATGAATAAAAACCAGTCATGATACAAATGAACTTATTATGTACATATGTCTAAATACTAGTCTACATTGGGAACATGTATTACTCTGGGTTTCAAGTTTACAAGCTGTAAACTGCTGTGGTTTATCCGAACATTCATCAAATGGGGAAAAAAATTCGATCCCAGGAAGTACGTATTTTACACCCTACAGTGGTCTCCATAAAATTTAATTTTATAATTAGCTGATTATTGAAGTATATGATAAATCAAATATAAGTTAACATGAAGGGTTACCAGCAAACTGGGCGACTTCGGAGACGACTGTGCAGAATTTATTGAGTCTTTTTCTTAAATACATGTTTCCCTGCAGTTGTAAAATTGTTTATCTGTTTGCCAAGTCACTTATTACACCATGAAAACACTTTAATTAAGGTATAGTTTCAAGTTTAAGGAATTTTAGATCGTCATTTACGGATATCCGGAAAACTATGAACGGTACGCATCAAAATATACGACCGGGTTAGCTTTAAAGTGTGTCAAAAGCCTTTTGTCCTTTTTTGATCAACAACTCCTTTTTTTGAATAAAAGCAATGACAAATCAGAAACCACCCTGTATGCATTGCATTACGCTCAAAAAACGATCTTTTCGTTTCGGTTTTGATTTTTAAAAACTGACAAACCTTTGTTTTAAAAAAAGTAAAAGTTTAGATTAACATAAGGGTTAGCTAAAGCGTTTAAAAACGGAAGACGAAACAAAAAATACTAGATTTGAAGAAAAAGGATGTATTTTATAAAAAAAATGTTTGATTGGGTAATAATTTATTCCAAAGCGAGGTCATTTTAAATGTTATTTTGATATGTTTGCTTTTGCGAATTTGCCTATAACGGTAAAAATACCCTTCTGATATTTTTCAGCATAATCCAACGATTAAAGTCGTTTTCAAAAAGGTGAAAACTGCCCATCCCTAAATTCATACAGGGCGTCCCATGTCACTCATATCGGATTATCTCCGAGCATTGACGCCAAAACAAGCCAAGAAAGAACCTTTTATTTTCTGCATGCACATTTTTATATATCTTCAAATGTTTTTAAAATGATTTAAGCTCTTCTCTTCTGTTTAAAAAGTCCCAATTAAGAGCTATTCTTGATGCATTATAATGTGGCTTTATTCTGCAAAATCAAACTCCGAAACAATTTTTAGAAAATTTAAAGAAGTTTTAGCGCAGTGAGTGAACAATTAAAAAAGTTAATATGGTAAGTACGCATAGTTAAGCTACTGTGGTGTGTAGGGTTGTTAATCGTTTTTAAATCGTTGTTAAAAACGCTTGTTAAACGATAGTTTTGTTTCGTTTTTTGCTCGTTTGATCGTTTCGTTTTCGGAAAAAAAACTATCGTTCTTTAAGACGACCCACTCGTTTTGAACTTTTAGAAAATGAATGTTTTTTGAAAACGATCGTTTAAAAAAAAGATTAGCGACCATCTTTCCTGTTTTCGGATAGTTTTTACGACGGCATATTTAAGAATATATACTCGATATAAAGCAATATTTATCAATACTTATTTTGACTCAACCTCTTAACTAGCTAAATGAATTTAGAAAAAATCTACCAGTTCAAGAAAGTTCTAGATATATATTTGCAATCATCCAGGACAAAAAGTGTTATCAAAAATTAAACGTTGAAAGTTTTATAGGACGTTTTAAAATATGCAAATAAAATCATTTCTGATATACCCCTAGTCTTAGTACGCCAATAAAATTAACCAAAACAATACTGCAGTCTTTCAATTATGATATGATTTTTATATTTCTAAACATCCCAGGGAAAGATTTTACAGGTTCTTTCTACTTTTTATCTAGAATTCTATAAACTCTGAGAACTGTTGTGAGCTGAAATATGTCGGAAGTAAACTTGATAAATGAATGTAAATATAATTTAGGTTTAAAGAAGATGCTTCGCTGACCAAACTCTAATCTTCTGCCAAGTGTTGCGATCTTCTGACACCTATGAAGAAGTGCCAACCCCCAACCCCCCCCCCCCCTTCAGCCTTCAGCGGTGAAGTATGCACTATGCACTAGATTGAGCGTTGGTAAGGGTATAAGAAGATGCGCGCTCAAGGTATTGGTATCAGTTTCTCACAGTTCGTCTCAGGGTTAACTTCAACATGATAAAATATATCGCTCTAGGACTGGGTAAGCTCACCCTCCCTCCCATCTTCTTTAATAGGATTCCAAGCATCCCTCCACTCATGTTTGGATACATTTAAGCCGTCAGAATACTTTACTTAGCGGGATCCATTGTTTTTGCTTCGTCTCAGCATGATATCATTTGTAGGCAGAGTATCCAACAGTCTGAATCTAAACATCAATAAACCTTCTACCACTTTAACCCAAGATACATTACAACCCTCGCACAAAGAATAAATTAAACTGGCAAAAAGTTCAACATAAAGAAACTGTAATAGACATACAGCAGAGTCTTGCAAGAACTGATGATTTACTTTTATCAAAGTATATGATTTGCCTTTTAACACATTTCAGCTTAAAGCACATTGATTTCTCAAAGTTTCTATTATATTTTAGCCCTGTGCCTGTTTGTCGATGTTGAAGCCCAGAGACGAGGTGGAAGGCGTCCCCAGTCTCCAAGGAGAGGTAGACAGGAAGGTGCTGCTGCAGGCTATGCTGCCCCTAGTGATGTACCAGTATATGGAGCTGCTAGTGATGCTGTCCCTGTCTATGATGCTGCTGCTGGAGATGATGCTCTCTCTGCCCTAACTAGTAATATCCCCGGTGTACCTGGTGAGGATTACCCAATCTATGCTGAAGTCCCTGAGACCAGTTTCACCTGTGATGGTCAAGTTGATGGAGGTTATTATGCTGACCCTGAGGCTGAATGTCAGGCTTTCCATATCTGCACTGCTGACGGTCAAGGTGGACTTGCCAAGTACAGTTTCCTCTGCCCTAACGGAACCATTCTGAACCAGAACTACTTCATCTGCGATTGGTGGTTTAACTTTGACTGCTCTGAAGCCGAAGGTCTGTATTCCTTGAATGATGCCATTGCTGCTGAACGTGAAGCTGCTTCTGCTGATCAGTCCTCTTATGCTGCTCCTCCCGTCTATGACGCTGGTGCAGCAGCTGCCGCTCCCCCTGCCACCTATACCGGAGAGGGAGCTGAGCGTGCTGGAAGGAGACTAGGAAACAGAAGAAACAACCGTCAAGGCGGAAGAAGGCAAGGAAACAGAGGTTAAGAAGGATATACCTTCCCAACATTAGAGCTACTTGAATGACTGAATGAATGAACCCCTTTAACAGGATGAATGAAGAATGAATGTAAAGTTCTCTTGTGGAGTCCTCCCCTGGTTAACCGAATCCTGCTGTGATAAACTGAATCTAGAAAACTGGCATTGATCCTGCTACGCGGCATTATGTAGAAAGCCAACTTGTTTAACTAGTTCCGGCATTTTATTTCTAGTCGTCTTCTCTTTTGTTCATATTTAATTATCTTCTCTATGATGGCGGTGTGATTGTGATTCTATTTATTTATTTATGTATGTATTGTTTCATTTCTGTTTTAATCTTGTTTAATTATTTCTTCACGTTTTCATATTTCCGGAAATAAAGCGCGGCAAACAAAATTTAAGAAAAGACTAGAGAAAGAGAGAGAAAAAAACAGTAAGACAACTGTTAGATTAAAGTCATGATTTAAAATAGTTCTATGAACATGAAACAATCCAATTGTGCAGTGCACTCATATAACTTAATAGCTTTATTTTCAAGCTTCTACAGTAAGACTGTTTGCTTCATAACAACAACACAAATACGTACGTTAGATTGCTTAAATTTCCTCTTCCTATTCCACAGTTTTATGAGTCCCATAGTTCCACAGTTTTATGAGTCCCATAGTTCCACAGTTTTATGAGTCCCATAGTTCCACAGTTATATGGGTCTCATAGTTCCACAGTTGTATGAGTCCCATAGTTTCACAGTTGTATGAGTCCCATAGTTCCACAGTTGTATGGTTCCCATAGTTCCACAGTTGTATGAGTCCCATAGTACCAAATGTTGTATGGGTCCCATAGTTCCACAGTTGTATGGGCCCCATAGTTTGAAAAATAAAAGAGATTCAAGGTTATCACCCTAGTTCAGTAAATTATTTAAGTTCCAATTGGCACATGCAGTTCTGCTGTGCACGATGCTATATTTAAAATTATGCAGTTTCATGCTAGTCCTATCTGGGACATAATTAATTATTTTTCATGCAAGTATACAAGGATTAGAAAAGTGTCATCAAGTTCTATTATTACATGCATTTTTATGAATTCTCCTAAACTTCAATACGAAAAATTTCTTAGAAAAATAATTTATTTAAATGTATCATTTACTCACAGAAAAATTAAAAAATCAATGTAAATTTAAACCGCGAGGGATTTAATAATAAACCCGAGGGCGTGTCAGGGACGGACAAGGTTAATAATGTTGCCTAGAATGGGATAAAATTCTCACGATAATGTTATCGAAAGAAGAGTTTAAAAACCTTTGAAAACTTTCTCATCTAAATCAAAGAAAAGTTTTTAAATTAGCATGCAAGACATACTTTACAGTAATCATAGTGAGAACCATACAACTTGACCCTAACTATAACAGTGGTCTTTCTATTCCATTGTTTTATGAATCCCACTGTAAACAGTGGTGCTCAAAACAATATAAAAATATTCCCAAAAATATGTTTTATAATAATTTGGTTACTTGGTTTACATTGTGCAGCAAAGACACTAATAAATGTTTACTCTGAACTGAAAACTTTAGAATAAGATCTCCTTAATCCAGATCGGTTAACTGGTCTGGAGATTAATAACAAGAGGAGAAATAGCATTATTTAATCTGGAGATTAAGAAAAAAGAGGAGATCACGCATTGATCTCGTTATCCATCATTCTAAAGATTTCAGCTGCTCTCTTTATTATGGCCTTTCAAAATATGGATACGTTCGCTCATCTTTCTATATTTTAAAAATGTTGTATCGGATATATTTGAATATTTGAACATCAGGCAGAAAATAATTATATAATGTGAAATGATTGTCGTCTTCGTTTATTCCATTAAATAGAAATGCCACGAAGAACATTGGTAAAATACATATATCGGAAAATGTGACACTTTTTCACTTTATGTGATTGCCACAAAGACAAGTGAAAGATAATTGAAAGCAACATGTTTTGTTTTAATTATTCTCGCTCCTTGTTCAAATGATCAAATCATGTTTGAAACGGTTTAAAAGTGCACTCCAATCAATTTTTAAGCTCACTAACACCTAGGGATGTTAACGTTTTATTTTTCAGAAAAGCGATCGTTTCGTTAAGAAAACGACGACGAAAAGTCGAAAACGAAACGATCGTTTTTGAAAACGATCGTTTTTTTAAAAAGTTCGTTTTTTAAAAAATGGTCGTTTTTAAAACGATCGTTTATCAAAACGCTCGTTTTTAAAAAAGGTCATTTTTCAAAACGATCGTTTTTATGAAATTCGTCGTTTCGTTAACGATCGTTAACGACGACCCTTCGTTAAGGACAACCCTTCGTTAACGATCGTTAACGACGACCCTTCGTTAACGATAACCCTTCGTTAACGAACGTTAACGACGACCCCTACGCTAACGATCGCTAACGAAGAAGGGAAACCGACCTGAAGGGCATCTGTACTTATCATTGAGTAGTTTTAAAGAAAATATCAAGGAGTTTTAACTCCCCCACAACTGTGAAACTTCATGTAAGACGACATTCAATAAGGTTGCATGTAATTTTTTTCCAAAAACGACCGTTTTGATAAAGTTCATCGTCGTTAACGACGACCCTTCGTTAACGATCGTTAACATAATTGTCAATAAAAAATTTTCTTCAAAAACGATCGGTTTTTCAAAAGCGATCGTTTTCTCAAAAACAGTCTATAAAAAACGGTCGCAAATTGTTTAACATACGTTTAGAAAAACGATTAACCCTATTCCCGCTGGGGGGGGGGGGTCAATTTGACCCCCCTCTGTAGTTTTTTTTACATAACTCAAAAAGTATTGGTCTTAGGCTGTTGAAATTTTCTGACTTTTCTTACATACCCAAAGCCCTCCCTTTAGGCCTAAAACCGGGCTTTAATACTAACTGCCTGAGTCCTCAGGCACACTGCCTGAATGACTGCTTTTGCCTGTAGCAAACTAAATCTTTGTTTTGACCCACTTTCACTTGTCAGATTTTGATAAAATTTAGCTTTTTGGAAAGCCTATGACATAAGGAAACGGATTGCCCAAGTTTTGCGAAAAAAAAATTGCAATTTTTTTGCAAACAACCTGTCAAAGAAAATTTGCACATTTTTAGTTTTTCTTGATTAAAAATCAGGTTATTTAAAATTTTGCAAAAATATTTGCATATTTGAAATGGCATGGTCAAGGGCTTTTCAAAAATGTATAATTTGTCATTTTTTGGACAAATTTTTTTTTGCAAACATTTTTACTATAAAACTGGATTTTGCGATAAAAAATTCAATTTTCGCAAATTTGCAAATTTTTTTGCAGATTCTAAAAGTAGAGCACAAGAGCTTTCTAATGATGTATCATTTGTCATATTTGGACATAAAACATGGGATTTAGAGGGGGGGTCAAATTGACCCCCCCCCAGCGTATCCTGGTTTTCAAGTACCCCAGCGGGGATAGGGTTAACAACCCTACTAACACCTAGCTTCGTTATCAAATCTTCAAACTGCGTAACTTGCTCTAGATTTGTATCTAGTGTATACGATGTATTGTACGTACAACAAACAAAGCTTTTTTTTAAAGTTTACCACCCAGAATCTTCTTAATTGGCATATTTTTCTGCAACAGTTCCTAGAAAAACAGTTTCCTTTCCTGGTACAGTAAAGAAACCTAATTGCGTATTTCTAACGTATTTAAACCTATCTTTAGGAGGTTCAAAAAAAAGGGGAAACACTCCCTGAAGATTATTTTAAAGGGACTGTAATGATAATTTCAAGTGACCCTTCATGCAAAAATGGCAAGGCAGATTTACGACGGTAACCTTGAAACCTTAATCTGATCAAAAATGTGGAAGGTATCGTCGTTTTTCTGACTCAAAAAGTGTTTATTTCAATGAGTTTCTCCTAAAATCCGCAATTAAGTCACTTTCGCAGATAAACCGCAAATGAAAATAGTTTAAAGAAACACAAACAAAGATATATAATTCATAATTGATCAGACAAAGCTTTGTAAATCATGCATTGCCATCTTTGACTGGAGGGTCACTTTGAATTACACTTTCAGTCCATGTAGACTGTAGCAGGGTTGTATGTTTATTTATTTTATCCCTATACCGACTTGAGTTATGTTTCAACCTCTCTATCTAATAATGATTTACAGGATATTATGGATGTATTTTTAAAAAGTGAACTATTTTCAATATTTTTTTTTGCATGTCAATTCCATCCATATTTAAATATAATACAAAGGTAGGTAGTTTTTTGTTCATGTAGTTAAGTTTAAATTTTGATTGCTATTGACATACGTTTTGCAGTATCTTTATCATCCTACAGTAAGATCCATAAAATTATTGATACTGACTAGTTACTACTCTAAAGTCAAACAAAAATACAGCAATTGTGAAGTGTACTCAGACCCATATAAAAAATAATTTTAAACATATTGGAGGTGTAACAGCATTAAACATAAGATTGCTGTCGTCTCACTATTCCAAAGCTTCACGGGTCTTATTGAAAGACCCAAAGAGCGAGAAACAATATCTTGCGAAATATGAGAATTTAAAGACTGCATTTTCAAGATGTTCCCATAAATAACGTTTTAAACAGCATTATATATTTTCTAGTTTCTAGATCATACAATGAGTTCCTGGAGATTTCTTTGGCATTCGCACAAGACAAACTTAGTAGTGTTGATGCCGCGTAAATCAGAATGACGAGTATAAAATTTTTTTCAAGTAGTCTTTAATATTTTTGAATACTAAGCGTATTGGATTTTTAGAACTAGGGCACTAACTTATTTAAAGATACAGGGTTACCCACAAGGGATGAGACTTCAAAGACGACTGTGCACCGAATTTCTTTAATTCTTTTGATCAAATGAATGGCTCCTGGCAGTTGTAAACTAGTCTCTTTTTTTGCAAAATCATTTAGTACATCATTCAAGTTCAACCTTTAAATTGTTAGGTTTAAAGAACTTTAAATTGTTAGGTTTCAAGAACTTTAAATTGTTAGGTTTAAAGAACTTTAAATTGTTAGGTTTAAAGAACTTTAAATTGTTAGGTTTAAAGAACTTTAAATTGTCATTAAAGTCTCATCCTTTGTGGGTAACCCTTTAACTCGCAAACTTCATAGTAAATCTAAAATATTTATCGGAATCCGAAAATATTTTAACGGAAACCACAATATTTCATCGGAAAACCACAAATTTTTTGTCGGAAACCATCACTATTTATCTGAAACCACAAATATTTTATCGAAAACCACAAATATTTCATCGGAAACCACAAATATTCATCGAAAACCACAAGTATATTTTCGAAAACCAAAAGTATCGTTTCGAAAACCACAAAAATGTCTTCGAAAACTAACTACATTACATCGGAGACCAAACACATTATCAGAG